TGTCCGTTTGTAATTCATTTTGCTTCGCTGTAACATATTCTGTAATTTTTGGACTATTTTTTGTTGTTTCTACCGTTGATTGCATCTTGTTAGCCTTGTCCGAACCTCTTGGACATTCTGGAAATTTTCTAGTAGCAATGGCAGCATGTTGCACCAATTCTAGATTGGTTTCCAAGTAGTAGCCGTTGATCTGTGCGTTTTCTGGAAAATTTGGAAGGACGCGCCTTTCTTTCTTTTTTTTTTTTTTTCTAATTTTCATTGATTTGAGCCGTTGATCTAGATATGATCAACGACTCAAATCTATCCCCATCTTTCACTTGGGAGCATCTTTGCACCAGAACCACTCCATATAAATAAATAAATAAATAAATAAATAAATATATATATATATATATATATATATATATATATATATATATATATATATATATATATATATTGAATCCAATGAGACCCCTATTAAGATGAAATGGTGAGACGACATCTTGACCATTTATAAATTTGTAATGGAAGGATGAGATTGAATGAGAAATATACTGTAAATAAGGTCATAATTTAATTAGGAGGGTTAAAGAGTAATTCTATTAATGTGTTAATTTTGGTTAGAATTAGAATGGAATCTTTGAATTAATGAAAGACCACAAATATAATGGGAATAAGTAGTAATCCAATATGGTTAGTAGTTGTACCACTCAAACCGTGAACAAAGGGTGTTGAAGCGCAAGAACATTGCAGAAGTTGAAGATGGCGACTACTATCACAGGTATGAGCTGCTGTCTTGATTTATAAATTGTTTTTGAACGTTGGTCTGTGCGCTGTTGACCGACGGCGTGTGCGTAATAAAATGTAACGAATTTGTTTAGGATCTGAATGTAGGTTTGTGCGTAATGCTGGAAGTAGTAATTGGTGGATGTGTTCTAGGTATTAAGCTTGTGCGTACTATTGGGTGTTTAGGATCTGAATGTAGGTGTGTGCGTTGGTGAGGGCAAGTGTGTGCGCTTGTTGAACATATATTGAATCTTGGGGTTCAATAATTTTATTTTTGTTTTAAGTATTCCGAATATTATTATTATTATTATTATTATTATTATTATTATTATTATTGTGTATTTTTAGTATATTGACAGGTAGCTTTAATCGTCATTGGTTTTTTTTTTTTTTCTTTTTTTTTGAAAGGTAATCGTCATTGACTTTTGTTGTTCACATTTATTAAAATATTGTAGAGCATATGGTAGTAATTAGTGTGTGCGTTCTTGGTGTGAAGTTTGTGCGTAATACTGGGAGTAGTAATTGGTGGGTGCGTTCTAGGTATTAAGGATCCAAATTTAGGTGGGTGTGCTGGTGAGGAGAAGTGGGTGCGTTAGTATATTGACAGGTAGCTTTAATCGTCATTGGTTTTTTTTTTTTTTTTTTTTTTGAAAGGTAATCGTCATTGACTTTTGTTGTTCACATTTATTAAAATATTGTAGAGCATATGGTAGTAATTAGTGTGTGCGTTCTTGGTGTGAAGTTTGTGCGTAATACTGGGAGTAGTAATTGGTGGGTGCGTTCTAGGTATTAAGGATCCAAATTTAGGTGGGTGTGCTGGTGAGGGGAAGTGGGTGCGTTCTAGGTATTAAGCTTGTGCGTATTATTGGGTTGTTAGGATCCAAATTTAGGTCTGCGCGCTGGGGGGCGGGGAGAATTGTGTGCTCAGGTGTATGATAATTATTTTTACTATGTTGTGGTAACTTTTTTTTGGTAACTGTGCATTAATTTTGGTATGACTAGGTGTCAATGCTGTAGATGCGGTAGAGGCTGTACAATTGCTGTCGTCCGAGGATGTTGAAGCACCCCCTGTTGCCCAACCAGACTCGGATTCGGATGGCTCGGATGATGGGCTTGATGCGGATGAATTGATGCAGTTTTGCCGTTTCTTTGAATGTCTTTTATTTATCTATTTATTTAAATGAACAATGCAGACTACCGGTTTTTCACTCGTGTTTAAATTTTTTCCAATTTCTCATGTCTTACGCTATTCTATCTTCATGCACAAACCAACAAAATCATACGTCATTCCAATCATACGCACACCATATTTACGCACTTAGATTGCACATACACTGTTAATTGCACACACTATTACCCACATGACACAAAAACAAATTCGTTACGTTTTATTACGCACACGCCGTCGGTCAACAGTGCACAGACCAACATCCAAAAACAATTTATAAATCAAGGCAGCACCTCATACCTGTGATAGTAGTCGCCATCTTCAACTTCTGCAATGTTCTTGCGCTTCAACACCCTTTGTTCACGGTTTGAGTGGTACATCTACTAACCATATTGGATTACAAATTATTCCCATTATATTTGTGGTCTTTCATTAATTCAAAGATTCCATTCTAATTCTAACCAAAATTAACATAGAATTACTCTTTAACCCTCCTAATTAAATTATGGCCTTATTTACACTATATTTCTCATTCAATCACATCCTTACATTACAAATTTATAAATGGATGGGATCTCATCTCACCATCTCATTTAATAAGGGGGTCTCATGGGATTTGCACCCTATATATATATATATATATATATATATATATATATATATATATATATATATATATATATATATATATATATATAGTGTGTGTGTGTGTGTGTGCAAACGCGATTAAGTGCGTTTGCAGACATTTAATTTGCGTTCGCACACACTTAATTTAATCTAGACCATCAAATAATATTAGATGGATGCACACTATTTGTTCTCACGTTCTCACCTAAGCAAGTGTTCTCATAGGAGCCCTCCCCTATATATATATATATATATATATATATATATATATATATATATATATATATATATATATATATATATATATATATATATATATATATATATATATATATATATATATGTGGGAAAAGTTTCAGAAGGCATAACTTTTGACTCGGTTGTCCGGTTTGGTCCACTAATTTCTCAAAAAAATGCTTCTTTAGCTCTTAATTTTAGTTTTTTATGTATTTAGATGGTTTAAACAATCTTTTGAGCAATTTTACAACCACTTTGGTAAATAGTTTCTAAAAAATAACTATGAAAACCTTATGTTTTATTACTAAATTTTGAAATTTTTTAATTTTTAAATTTAATTTTTAATTAAAAAAATAAAAATTAAAATAAAAAATTAAAAAATCAGCGCCTAGGCGCCTAACATTTTTTGCAACATTTATATATATATATATATATATATATATATATATATATATATATATATATATATAGAGAGAGAGAGAGAGAGAGACCGGTTCATATGAGAACCACTCCCAGGTGAGAATCCGTGGTCTAATTTGAGCTATTTATTTGTTAGGCAAGATATGGCTAAAATTTGATAGTTTTTAACTGCTTTTTTTCTTAATTTAAGTGGCAGGAGTATGGATGTGATTTTGTTCAGTTTTTCCTTGCATGGAGTTTCCAAATACTTTATGCTCCTTGATTTTAGGCTGTTTTAAGCACTTTGGCTCGCGTTAAGAACTCTCTTGGTAATAAAGGTCGGTCATTGCATTAAAAGTGATTTCACCACTATTGATTTACGTACTAAAACCGGATCGTCCTCCATGATTTACACAACTACCTCTATACATATGTTGCATTAGAGTTGTGTAGATAAGAGATATGAGAGAACAAGGAAAATAGAGAACTTAATATGCTTTATAGCGTTTTGAATGACTCTTTACGGGGTGTTTGGTTGGTGGGAATTACAATTTCATTCTCACTTAATTCTCACATAATTCTGAAGGCAAGCAAATTCTTTCGTTTAGTTGGAGGGAATTGCAATTTCAATTCGCGGAATTGCAATTCCTTTGTTTTTCTGTAATTAGAATCTCACCCCACTTAGTATTTAATTTCAATTCTATAGATTTTAGGAAGAAAAAATATAACCTTGAGACAAAATTAACCCTCTCTTTTTTAGCTTAAATTTGATGTCTGACATCTCTCTTTCGATCATAGTGTCACACAAAACGTCAATCAGTAGGCCAACCTCAATCAAGTATGTTTTGTCAAAACTCTTTATCTATTTTATTGCTTTCGTTATGCAATTCTTGGGTTTATTTACGTGTTACATAAATTTTCAAAAGCAAAATTTGAATTTGGTAATTTAAGATTTATAATAATAATAATAATAATAATAATAATAATAATAATAATAATAATAATAATAATAATGATAGTAATAATAATAATAATAATAAATATGGACATTTAATTTTGGACTTTATATTAGTTATTCCCTTTCAATTCCCATGTATACCAAACATTAGAATTGAAATTTTCAATAATTCTATTCAGGGACGGAGCCAGGAATTTTGTTGAGTGGGGGCGAAGAAGCAAAAGGCAAAATACATTTAAAAATATCACATACAAATAATATTGTTAAAATACAAAATACATTATAAATTACCGTACAAGGTTTATGATGAACGAACTACCGGATAAAACTCTTCTACGCACTCTCATATTTTGAAATCGACGTAAGATTGCTTCATTTGAAACTTGATCAAAAATATCTTTTTCAACAAATGGCACTAAGCAATCATGTAATAAATCATCACTAATGGATATAAATTGATATAACTGCCTCACTGCTCACACATTCATTCACAAAATCACAAATTGAACAAATCAACAAATTGCTCACAAATTGAACAAATCAACAATCTAGTAATCTACCAAACAGGCAAACTGCTCACATTCATGATTTATTATTCTGACCTGCAAATCTGCCAATTACCATATACCGTATACCGCCATTAGGCCATACCAAACTGGGGAACTGCTCTCTGCTCACATTCATTATTCAATATATTCATAATTCATAAACAAATCACTTAAGCACATAGAAAAAGCACATATATTAAATCGATTACAAATAAAATTAGAGAAATTAGGAATTTATTCATTTAGGGTTCCAAAAAATTAGAGAAATTAGAGATTTAGGGAAAAAATAAGAACCTAAGTCAGAAGACGATAGGGTAGAGGCGTTGAGGCGGTGTTCATGGCTTCTGTCCTGCTGAGCGGTAAGGCGGTGAGCCGGTAGAGAGCCTGAGAAGCGACGATTCGACGAACGGAGGCGGGAGACGGGGGAAGCAGAGCGACGACGACTGATGAGCTCTGCGAATCTGCGATCTGCAATCTAAAATCTGAAATAAGGAAAATAAAAAAAAAATTATATATATAGTACAACCCCAAAACGACGTCGTTTTGGGGCTGTATACTGCCCCCAGGCCAGTTCCGTCCCTGATTCTATTCTTACAAACCAAACAATGGAATTTAAATTTCCACTTTATTCCACATTATTACTCTTTCATCAAATTACCATTTTTTTTCACCTAATTCCCTCCATCCAATCAAATGCTCTGTTAGCCTTGCAATAGCATATAAGGAGATCACGCTTAATAATAACCGCTAAAATAATTATTAAAATTTCCTTTAATTTATATAGCAGCCTTGTAGTAGCATTTAAGGAAATTACGCTTAATAATAACCACTAAAAAAAAAATCTCCAATAAACAAAAAACAAAGGTCAAATAGACCATCAAACTACATACCAAACTGTAATTAGGTCACATAACTAAAAAAATTTACAATTGAGTCCCTGAATAACGCATATTCATGCAATTTAACCTAAAACAACTTGTTTACCTTTTACTATGCTGACTTGTCAGTTCCTTTATTGAAAACAATTTTTAAAATTATATTTTAATAATTTAATTTAATAATTTAAAATAAACGAATTATTGAAAAAAAAAAAAGAAAAAAAAAAAAAGAAGCCTCTAGGCTTGCCGGTCGAAGCCAAGGGGATCGTCTCCGGCCACCTAGCCATTGAGACAAGAGGACCCTTGTCTCCGGGCAGTCGGCCATGGAAACGAAGGGTCCCATTCGTCTCCAGCCTCAATGGAGACGAAGGGGACAGTCTCCATGGCTAGCCGGAGACGAAGCGGTTCCCTTCGTCTTCGGGTAGGATTTTTTTTTTTTTTTTTTTTATAATTTGAATATAATTATTTTATTTAAAATTATTAAAATAAAATTTTAAAAATAATTTTTAAATACAGTAACTAACACGTCATCATATTAACAAGTAAACAAGTTATTTTAGGTTAAATTGCATGAATTTGTGTTGTTCAGGGACCCAATTGTAATTTTTTTTTGAGTTCAGTGGCCTAATTGAGTTTGGTGTGTAGTTGGATGGCCTATTTGACCCTTATTCCAAAAACTAAAATTGACATTATCAAAATATATAGGTCCTGTTTGGTAAAATAATTAGCATATCAGCCAATTTTTGCTTGTTTGACCACTATTAGCTCTTTGATTTGGTTAAACAACCAATATGAGTGTTTAATTAATTAGCTTTTTGTAACAGCTTATTGTTCCAAAACACAAAAATTTAAAAAGTTGCTCAAAGTAGCTTTTTTCAATTAGCTTTTTGAGAAGGAATAATGTTCAAATTGGCCACTGAATGTAATTAACCTGAAAATGCAATTAGGCCATTGAACGAAAAATAAAAGTGCAATTAGGACACTGAACACTCCAAATATATGCAATTTCACTTGATAGCAGGTTACCTTCAATTTTAGCAGGTTACCTGCTTACGTGGCAGCTGAATTGACATTTTTAATAATTTTTAAATTATTTTTAACACTAAATTTTAAAAAAATTGGAAAAAAAAAACGATTGGGTGGCCGCTCCTCCCCCTCTTCCTTCGTCTCCGCCGGAGACGAAGGAAGTGGGGGGGGGGGGGGGGGGAGGGGAGGGTGTCGCCGGCGGCTACCCCATCGTTTTGTTTTTTAAATTTATTTGTTTTAACTTTTACTATTAAAATTATTTAAAATGCCAATATGTGTCACGTAAACAGGTAACCTGCTAAAATTGATTGTAACTAGCTATCATGTGAAATTGCATACATTTGGAGTGTTTTGTGGCCTAATTGCACCTTTTTTGAGTGTTCAATTGCCTAATTGCACTTTTTTTTTTTTTCGTTCAATGGCCTAATTGCATTTTCAGGTTACGTTCAGTGGCCAATTTAATTGAACCTTATTCCTTTTGAGAAAATCATTTTGTATGTAATTAGCTATCAGCTAACGGCTAATTTAACAAACATCTTTTTACAATCGACTAATTCTATCAACTAGTAAAGTCACTAACCCAATCAGCAAATTAACAGCTATTTACCAAACACTCCATAATCAAATACTTTACTAAAGGTGGGCAATTTATAACTGTAAATTAACCAAAAATAAAAGAAAGTATTATAGCGGAATCGATTCTTATATAGCTTAGGTAATAGACGTATATGGCGTATATATGTAGTGTTTTTACAATTGCTATATATGATAGCATATTTCAACGCATCAATTAAGTTTAATTTGATTCGCACAAGATCGACGTACTAGCTAGCTACCACGACAAGAACGCGAAAGGCTGTCTTTATTCTCAAGCTAGCCAGCTAGTACGTAGAAATTAAGAAAAGTAACAAATAAACGTAGAGGCATATATAGATATTTATATATAGAAAGTGAAAGATAGGACGGCAAGATTAACCTAACGTGATGTTGGGCGTACATATTCAGGTAATGAATAAGAGATGGTGGATGCATGGATGAAAATGAAGAAAAGTACGTGGGAGATCATGAGATTAGATTTCAGGAATATTATATTTGAATTGGTTTTGCTTTGGCTTCAAAACACGCATTGTACTTGGTTAATCCCCACCAGTAGAATAACTCCACATTTATTCCCTCAATCACTTTTCTGCAGTAGTGTCGGAGTTGAGCCATTTGGGGGATGGCTGAACTTGATTGCATGCTTTCCACGTACACTACACATGCATGCAGTGCCTTAATCGCATTATGTTACTTCACTATAATATATGCTCAGATGCTATTCCCCGGCATCCTGAATTGATATATGAGTCCTGGTGGGTTGTCGTTGTTTATTATATATATTATTTCTTATAATAATAATAATAATTAATTTTCTTGTGAAACGGGGAATTGGTGGAAAACTAGGGAGGTACTGTTGCATACATCTGTGGGAACTCAGAAATGATGTGCGCTTTTGTTTCATTTTTTTCCAAACAAATTCTAATGTGTTACATTCTCACTCAGCTAGCTACAAGATAAATGAACAAATTAAATACAACATTAGAAGGACAACAGTTTTATTTGTTGAAGAAAAAAATAGCACAAAATGGCGTTTTAAGTAGTTATTTTGTGGTATAAATATATGTGAGGTCCACATTCTATTTGAGTTGGGTCAAAGTGAATTCGGGTTCTTCATAATGAGGCGAAGAGATCGATATATTGTACATTCAAAACGGATAATTAGTGAATGAGAAAATGATTCTCAAGGTACACTCATTTGAGTTGAAAAATAAAGGTGGAAAGACTTGTAAGCAGCCTTTGTCCCACAGTGAAAAAAGAAGTGGATTTGCACCACTATATGTAATTTATGTACAATACCCTTTCAGAGGTAGTTGAATTGTATAACTTATACTCTTGCGCACAGAGGGAAAGATGCAAATTAGATCCAGAAAGGCTTTTCCAACTTAACTTAGAGGAGCCAGAGTACCATCCAGCTCGTTCTAGAGTTTTAATTCTTATACTATGAAAGGAGATTTAACAACATTGGAAAATCTGATCTGAAGCTTTCTCTCTCGAAAAACCTTGCCCATCTTCATCTTCAATCTCTGTGTTCTAACCACGTTCTAGTTCGCTAAGTTTAGCTGTTTGAGTGTTCAAACACTAAGTCAAAGCTTGTTTTATCCTTAATAAATTTTCGTCTTTTATGAAGGTTACATGGGTTGATTTTAATATCAGTTTAAATTCCATGTGTTAACTGCATTATTTTGACCACCGCCTCTCCTATATATACTTTGGATGATGAGCAGGAGATTTAACAACACTAGAAAATCTAAAGTTTTCTCTCTTGCAAAACCCTGCTCATCTCCCCCGTTCAATATAATCTCCCTCCCAACACCTACCACCCCAACTACAGAACATGCTTTCCTGTGACCCGCTCTAATACCAATTGTTAGGATGTACTTATCACTTGAAATTTGTAAAACGCAAGGAGTTGGTAACGCAGTTTGGGAAAACCCCAGTCTGCAAGGCACTTCTCAATTTGAGAATTTGCCTAAATCTACTAAAAGCTCAATATTTAAAGTACACTGTTTGGAACCTGCGATTACACAATAGAATGATCTTTCCTACCAAACTATTGTAACCTAAACACATGTACTATTTTCTAGGGGAATTTAGAATACTCTCGAAGACTCTCAGACCTCACAGAATAAGCTAGGGAATTCGTGAATCATAGTGATCAGATGGAAGGTCTTTATATAGCTAACTAATACTTATACACCCAGTAGAAGTATTATTCCTACTTTGTTTAGGTTTTGGATTTATATCCTTTATGCTTATCCTTTCTGAACTGGGATTCCATTTTGCTAAAGATTTTGACTAAACTTCTTGAGTCAACACTCTCCCCCTTTGTCAAATTTTTGACAAAAACCTTGATCTCTGTCTTTCTCCCCCTTAGTTGATGCCACAGTGGTGTTTGATTGATGGTTGATTAATGACACACTAGTACAAAATTGCACATTTGCTACTGTTGTAAATGACTTTTCGCAACTGTTCTACAACAGTCGCGGATACCATAGTCACTAAAAGTGTTGGACTTTCTGCCACTGTTGTACAACAGTCGCAGAATGTTGATAATCTGCGACCATTCTTTGATAAGAACAGTCGCGGATTATATTTTTATTTTTTTAATATTGAGTTATGCGACTGTCTTTCTAAAAGAACAGTCGCGGATTATCATTTTTATTTATTTTAATATTGAGTATACGCGACTGTTTTTACAAAGAAATAGTCGCGTATTCTATTTTTATTTTTTTTAAAAAAATAATTAATTTAAAAACCCCCTAATTTTTTATTTATCCTACCAGATAAATACTATACAATTCAACAATACTTGTTTCAAAATTTCATCCAAGACCAATAGCTCTAACAAAAACTAACAAATGTTAAATACCAAATTTTCATTAGTTAAAGAAAGAACTAATCCAATTGCAAGATGAAACTAGTTTCAGCTTGCACTACACTCAATAGCACATGGATCTACACAACTCTCCTTCAAATATGTGAAACAAACAAAAAACCATATATGTTCACTAACATACAAATACTAAGCAAGAATCAACTCTAGCTAGTCCAGAACTGAACTCAAGGTTCAATAATTAGGTGAATGCTACCCAAAGAACAAGGGAAATGTGGCATTGATGGGGTTTTTGTGTAGCAGAAGAGTCGAGCAAAATAGCAAATGCCTCAAGTTGCTAAGTACTACTGGTTTAAAAACTACAAATATTTATAGGCCCATGCTGGTTTATCAATTCATTTCAAGTAAAGCTCAATCTCTTCACACACACAACTAGTCTAGCTAACAAATGAGACAGAAAACAAGTTGATAACATCACTTAAAAATTAAAAGGCACATCACTTGAAGTGTGCATAAAACGTAAAATCATTGATACTTTCAAGTTTCAACACAGGGTAGGTGAGTTTATGGCATTGGTAACTTACATGTAACCCTTCTTTCCCGGCAAGCAACTTTGTAGTTTCTATGGCTTCATCACTTGAAATCTGATTTATTATACAATATCACAATTCACAAAGCACTATCTTTCACAACGGCCAATATGCAAACTAATCAACTTGCAGAATTAAATAATGAAAAAAAAAAAGATTAAACACACATCAAGAATGGCCACAAACCTGGATTTCTTTTGAACTGATCAAACCAATTAGCAAGACCCAAATCATCAGCCTCAGCATTCTCAAAATCCACAGAAGAAAAACCCATAAACAATTCAGCAAACCATACATAAAAACATTTTAAAAAAATCCCCAACTTTAAAAATGATTCTACAGTTGTGATACATTAGCAAGTAAACTCACTCCAAAACATTATTCGTTATATTGTAAGTTGAGACATGCAATATCTATCTATCAATTCATTCTTAACCTTCCTGATTGTAGCATGACCAACACTGTCCCAACTCCAGGTGTATGCTATACTTGGAGCCCACCCAGACCCCCCATTCTTAGCACAAGCCAAAACGGGACATCAAGGCTAAGCCCACTAAGGAGCTCCTTTAAAAGGAGCCCCCTAGCCTACAAACATAGCACATATAGCTAGGTCTTCATCTTCACTCCTGCCCAAGCCTACCTGCAAAAATGGCTTCATCTCTACACAACTGTAGATCCACCAAACAAAAGCTGCCCAGTGTTTCCACTGTCAGTCCCCTCAACATGCTGTAGCCCTCAGAAACTGTCCAGCTAGCAGTCCATCATCGGGCCAAGGGGAGAATGGATCTCAGCTATAAGCCTCATAGATCCAGCCTCCCATAAGACATCAAAGTATCCTAGTTCACCCCTTAGGATTGCACATCCATCATTGGGGGACCACAGAGGGAAGCCTCAGCAAATCTGCCTCATAGGCCTCTCCTCAACCATCCATAATATCCCTGACTAAAGGCAGAACAAGCCTCAGCCCTATAGGCCTCACAGGCTTGTTCCCCCCAGCCTGCTTGCTCACCCCTCAAGACTGCCAGGCCAAGCAGCCCATCATTGGGGTGCCTTATGCCATTTAGGACCTTACAGATCAGCCTTCATAAGCTTCACTTCTGCAATTTTCCTTTTAAGCTCCCAAAGAATTACCCAAGTGGCTCTTGCCACTCCAGTTTCTCCACAAATTCCTAGGCAGAACATATCTCAGTTGTTTAACCTCACTGATATGTTCCCCTAGGAGATGCAGGTTTTATGCTTATCAGATCTGGGCCCTACAGACCACCCATGAATTTATGGTTCAAAAACTAAATTTCCCAAAAGATACACCATCACATCAGTTCATAGCAGTCTGGTTACAAACATATTACAAATTAAAGCTAAGCTCAAAGCTTCCGCATTAGAAGAGTAATTGCGCGAGCCAATCAGATTCTCAGCAGCAAGAAACTAAAATTAAATGCAAACAAAAACAATCATTGCCGAGCTTGACTACAAACACAATTCAGAGGATAATAGGAAGTACATCACCCATCTAAAAACTTAAGCAAGTTCAAGGAACATAGGCTACGTCTGACAATGCAATTCTAATTCGCTGAAGCAAATAATCGACATGAATGGAATTTATGTATTTTGTATTTAGTAGCAAAAAATCACCAATATGAAAAATTAGTACCAGTATACATGATTACTATATACCTCGTGAAAGTCGAATTCTGGATCTTGAGCTTTTGAAAACCCATACACATGGGGATCCTTGGTAAGGTAGAATTCTTATACTTATGGTTCTCCCTGAATAGTCCCCTAAATACATCTGCCAACACGAGTAGAAACAGATACAACAACTTGTAGCTATATCACTCCCTAAATACATCTGCCAATATGCTACTTCACTCCTCTCTTACTTGTAGCTATATCTCCCTATATTCCTCCCTTTTCTTCTTTGTTCACTTATGCAGTTTCTCTCAATCTCATATAGCTATTTGCATCCCTCACACCTAAGCTTCCATTATCTCCAAACCAAAGCCAATTGCAACACTAACCCATTTGCTGTATCAACTTATTTTGGGTATAACACTAATAACTAAGCACGCATCCACTTGATAGCAGAAAGAATGCAAGGTTGCAGCACATATTTATAATAAAAAATTATAAAATATAAATGCCTTACTGAATCTGATGTTGATTCTTGCTTTTGAAATTATAAGGGTAGTGATATGAAATACTCTGTTCTTCTGTAAATAAGCAAGTAGAGAATATTAGGTGCCTAAAATGTAAAATAATAGATTCAATGAGCAATCATCTTTCACTCTTAGACAGATCATCTTACCAGTGAACCAGCAAGAACACCACATGTTTCTAAGTTTTTTGCTGTTTTAGCTTGTGTTAACCTCAAGAAATCGTCCATCATCCTTACTGGCTGTTATTAGAGAATACCGAAGGAAAGGCAACATCCATAAAAAAGTATAACTAGCAACCTTTAATAATAAACCAAAACTATAACTTCCTTAAGCAAAAACAAATGCCAGGTAATTAGAACTTACAATATGCAGATGTTGATAAGCATTAGAACCAGATGTAATGAAAAAATAAAGTTAACTTATCTCAGCACTAGGTCCATGCCATTGGTGACCATTTGGGCCTAAAAGGGACTGTCTTGACAGTGTTTCTTGCTTTGAAAGAGGTAAAGAGAGAGATCTGCACATATCAATGGGGTATAAAAGGTAAAAAGACATCCAATCCCAGGCCAAATGCCAATGCCTGAAAAGGGGCATTGCTGATTGCTCTAAGCCAATAAATCAACATTGATGGAAAAGCTTTGGTGTTTTCTGCTTGCTAGATTAATATGGCTAGACAGACATTTATTCTGTTTGAGGAAAACCCTTGTCATTTTAGCAGTTCTGGTTGCAAGTGAGAGCTAGTTTTTAATGCCTTCTAGTTGAAAGAAGCAGCATCTATTAGGGATAAGAGAATTAAATAAAAAGAAAAAGAAATCTTACCAGCATAGAAAAATCCAGGGATGTTCTTCTCCATGTTTTCAACTGCTTCCAGGACTGAATCATAGTCAAGACCATATAAAGGAAATGCTTTACTCCAGTAGACATGGCTGCAATAATCACTACAAAATATTCATTGTATTTCATTCATTATCTCGTGTCAATAAGAGCAAAGTCTAGAGGCTTTAGAAAATAGATGGTGGTGGTGTGCGACGTGGCGGGGGGCGAGCTTTAGATGAAAGTGACTAAAGAAGGGGGATGACATATTAGCATATGAAGAGCACAAACTTTAGTTACATTAAAATACAAAAATCAACCTCTCAATCATGACCATAGCAGGTCTACATACAACCATAATATCTGAAGAGATACACCTCCATAATATTTTTATGCATAAATTAAAGAAAAAGACAACAACCATATCTAGCTGAATTTTACTTCTATACATAATGAAACAAACTCTCCATTACAACTAAGCACCCACTTCGGGGACTAGATTGTTAAACAAGTTTTATAAACTAACGATGTAAGTTTGTAACTCTAAGCGATGAAAAATATCTCAAATTTAGTTTTCGTTTCCCGCACATATGTCAAAAAATATATCGGATAAGATCAGAATAGATCATCCAAATAGCTATAGCTGCTCATCACTACCAAAATCATCAACTCTCCATCATATCTAAACCCCACAACTTGTAATTAAAGTAGGGATTAAGAAAAAAGGATAAATATGATGGCAAATCCACAACTTTTAGACAGTGAGCTCTAATTTCGTGTTTACATGAAGGGAAACACTGGTTCTTGTTCTGCTTCCAAGTGTAAAAATTTTTAAGAGCTTGAACTTAGATTGTTAGCAAGCATAACGTAATATATGTACAGAGGTAGCCTATGTTGAGCAAATAATAATAAAACAAAAATATATTATTAAAAATTGAAAAAAAAAAACAGATGAACCTGCAGATCGGAAGGGCGGTGGTGGTAGCTGTGGCATCGCAGGGGAGCTGGAGGAGGGAACGACGAAGTTGCGTCGGTGGAGACGGCGTTGGCGACTGTGGCGTCGCGGTGGTGGGTGCGATGTGCGTCGCGGTAGTGGGTAGGCTGTGCGCCTGATCTAGATTTGGGGCTGAAGATCGATTTAGGGTTGAAGGATATTAGATCTGAACTCTATCTGTATTAGATTGATATTACACCACCGTTAATAAAAGAAACGGTGGCCGAATAAAAAGAAAATTCTTTTTATTATTTTTAAAATATACTTTTCACCACAGTTCGTGTAGGAAAGGTGGCGTTTTATTTTTATTTTTCGCCACTGTTTCAATTAGAAACTGTGGCGGAATCTAAAAGCATTATTTTAATATTTTAATCTGCATCCGTTACAACTAAGAACAGTTGCGGATTATCTATCAATTATTACGAAATTGTCACCGCGAATTTTTGAATTAAGAATACACTACTATTTTTTTAACAACAGTAGCTAAATGCCAGTCTCCTATGTCCTGTTTTGTACTAGTGACAGGTTAGATTGCCATCCCATGTGTAGCGTTTATCAGATGATCTTTTCCCCATCATAACACATTCATGTCTTTGGTTGTAGACTTTACAATTCTCTTTGGAAAATTCTACTTTGGGTTCATCATCACACAGTTGACTTATACTGATAAGGTTTGCTTTGAGTCCTTGTACCAAAAAGACTCTTGGTAATCTGGGCAGTCCATGGACATTTAAGGTACCGCTTGCGATAATCTGTCCTTTTTCCTCCCTCTCCAAAAGTGACATGCCCTTCATTTTTGTACTGGATGTTCTCAAGATAATTAATGTGGATTTCCTGTCATATATCATGAACATCCGCTGTCAAAATACCAAACACTTTGTTCTTGGCTTGTTTTTGAGGTATACACGACAGCTTGTGTTTGTTCCTTTCTTACCCATACTTTCTTGTTAACATGTTTATTCTGGTCTTCCCAAGCTCTGCAGTTTTGCCTATATTGAAGATCATTTTGCCTCTTATAACAGTATGCTTTTATGTGACCCAGCCTATGACAGTAGTAGCATCTGATTCTTCTTCACTATATGAGTCATCACTTAGGGTTGTCACATAGGTCTTATGCTTCCTTTTTAGATATGTTGGACACTCGGACTGAATGTGTCCAAACTCCTTGCACTCATAGCACTGTACCCGTTCGGGATTTTGGTTATCTATTCTTTTTGTAGTAGGCTTGTTTTGTCCAGGTGTGAAGCTCCCTTGATTATTCAAAGGTTTTTTGTTCCTAAACCTGTTGACTTTCTTGAGAACTTTGTTGAAGTTCTTTGTTAAGGGAGCAATTGACTGCTCTATGGTGTCGGTATCAATTTCTGAACTCTCTTCCTGCTTTGATTTGAACGCAATTTCTTTGTCATTATTTTTCTTGATTTGTAGTATCTCAAGCTCATATGTTTGAAGATTCCACATCAAATCACTGAGTTTGTAGGTGTTTAGATCTTTGTTTTCTTGGATGGCTATAACTTTTATCATGAATCTCTCAGGTAGAGAGCGTAGAACCTTTTTGACGAGCCTATGTTCAGGAATAGGTTCGCCTAAGTTGAACGCATCTCCGACAATTTCTAAGACTCTTGCACTAAATTGTATAATGTTTTCCTCTTCTTCCATTTTTAAATTTTCGAACTCTGTTTGTATCATTTGTAACATGGATTGGCTGACAGATGTGTTTCCTTCGTGATGATTGCATAATATGTCCCATGCAATTTTAGCTATGCCAGTGGTAGCGATTTGTTTGAAAGTATCTTCACTTACCGCTTCATAGATGGCGTTCATTGCTTTTGAGTTGAAATCATATTCCCTTCTTTCTTCATCGCTTCAGTTGGTTTTAGGATTTTGATTACCTTTATTATCAACTAAGTCCTTCCACTCGTTCTCTATAGCATTCCATATTCCTCCTTGTGCCAAAATATATATTTTCATTCTAGCTTTCCTGTAGGAGAATTTGTACCAAAGAGGGCAGGGAGCCTGGTGCTTGATAGTCCTTCTCTGGGAAACTCCATTAGGATCTTGCTAATAACTTAAGCAGTTTGGCTCTGATACCAATTGAAATTTGTAAAACGCAAGGAGTTGGTAACGCAGTTCGGGAAAACCCTAGTCTACGAGGCACTTCTCAATTTGAGAATTTGCCTAAATCCACTAAAAGCTCAATATTTAAAGTACACTGTTTGGAACATGAGATTACACAATAGAATGACATTTCCTACCAAATTATTGTAACCTAAACACATGTACTACTTTCTAGGGGAATTTAGAATACTCTCAAAGACTCTCAGACCTCATAGAATAAGCTAGGGAATTCGTGAATCATAGTGATCAGATGGGAGGTCTTTATATAGCTAACTAATACTTATACACCCAGTAGAAGTAGTATTCCTACTTTGTTTAGGTTTTGGATTTATATCCGTTGTGCTTATCCTTTTTGAACTAGGGTTGCTTTTTGCTAACAATTTTGACTAAACTTCTTGAGTCAAAATCAGTATATCAAAAAAGCTATAATTAGTAACGAAGGCACAACTTATTTTCTTATACTTGTGTAGTAGTTAGCGTTACATTTCGATGATAGGATACTCGACTCAACGCTCTAATAAGCCTTCGCACAACACATGACACACACCAAAACAAAATAAAAGTATGTAAAGCAGTAAACAAATGAAATGTAGGCCAAGAAAGCTAAGCACACTCGACATGTAGGTCGCCAAAACATAAATAAACACATACAAACGTAAAGAACACAATAACACAATGTTCTTAAAGGCTCAATCATTTGGAGCAAATAGTCCGCCATCAACGGACTCGATAAGCATTTACTACTAGCTAGCATTTGTAATGAAACAGGGAACATATATATATATATATATATATATATATATATATATATATATATATATATATATATATATATATATATATATATATATATATATATATATATAGGCTTCGAATTCGGTGCACCCACTATGATACATGAGTTCATGAGCTCTCATGATATCCATTGATTAAGTTTCCTTGAATGACTAAGATTATAAGAGAGTTATAAATTAATTAAGGATATATAGAAAACAAAAGGATTAAATTGTAATTGTATTTATGCGTTTAATTATGGATATAATATTAAAGGAATCTTTAGCAATAAATTAGGGATATTATGAATGGTAATTGAAACCATTGATTGTTAAAGCTATTTTGCAGTCACCTGTTAAAATAAAAAACGTGTGGAGAAGACTGACAGTGCTGATGAACGGGTGGGAGTAGAGGGCGAACCAAACAGCACACTTCACTAATGGCTTGTAGCAGCACAGGTAGGTGCATTTGCGTGTCTAGGCATGTGCGTATGCCGTTTTTCCCCCTCACGTACTGTTGGTGTTGTGTAATCTTGGAGTGAATAAATGACGGTTAACGACTAAGTGGATGCATTATACGGTAAACAAGAGGTGTTAATAAATACTAAAATTGTGCATATGCATCTCCGTGTACTGCTATGTGCGTAGTAGGTGACCAGTCGGTGCATATCGTTGTAGCTGAATAAAGGCATGTGTTGTCGGGTGCATTAGTGAATACAAGTTACTGCATAGTACTTGTTGGGTTTTATTTCTTGGATTTAGGTTAGTTTTGTGCTAACACCCATGTTTGCACGACGTGACAATTATTTTGTATTTGAAATTATGCTTAGTGCGTAGTTATGAATAGGTGAATGCATTACACTGTAAGCAAGAGTTATTATCAAATAATAATATGGTGCATATGCAACTCTGTGCACCGTTAAGTGCATAGTATGCGACCAGTCTATGCATAACGCTGAGGCTTATGCATGCATTTATCGGTTTGTGCATTAGGGGATCGAAGTGAGTGCATATTTAGGGAAATAGAATATTTAACCATATATTTCACACGGAAAGACAATAAATGCACTGCAAAAATTACATCACTATCCCTAATTATATTCCATACCATCCATTTACTAATAAAACAAACAATAAATCCTAACCGTTAAAATATTAAAATGAATGTTCAGGATCAGTGCTCACGAACTCACCTAATTGGGGGGTTGCACTGGATTCAAAATCTATATATATATATAAGTTCAAATGTGGCGGACCCTTTTCGTGCGGCCGGCGGTGCGGTGGAGTTCCAGAATACACCAACAGTCTAAGGGAAACACACCACAATGAAATGCAAAAATACACCAAAAAATACACAACACGCCAAAAAAATGCACCATATAACTCACCACCCCTAATGGTGTATTTTAGAACACTGTATGGTGCTTTTACTCACACCTAATGGTGTGTTTTCAGTTATGCGTACCTAGTTTGTGTGTGTTTTTGTGGTGCATTTTCTAACGTTGATGGTGTATATGTACTTAACTATTGGTGATGCCGCACCGCCGCACGGGAAGGGTCCGCCGCACCTGAACTTAACTCTCTCTCTCTCTATACATACATACATACATACATATATATATATATATATATATATATATATATATATATATATATATATATATATATATATATATATCAAAAGTAGAAAAAATTAAACGTAGAGTAATTATAGAAACCATTACAAAAAGTTAGAAAATACTACTCCGTACTACACTAATTAAGTTCAAGACTTTAAATATTATATTATTCTCTAATACTTACTTTTTTTTTTTTTTGAATGCCTCTAATACTTACTTGATTTGCCTTACATGCGGTTGTTTAAGCCAATCTAGTACACAACTTAACTGCTAGTACTTGTATTAAGGTTTGTTAAGATCCACAATAAAAAGTAACAACTGCTAGTACTTGTATTAAGGTTTGTCAAGATCCACCATAGAAAGCTAAGTAACAACAAACCCACAACCAAAAAGCTAAATATCCATATCTACATGAACAAAACAAGGTAAACCCTATAAGCTCAAAACAACCCAAGCTCATGGAAGGTCGTCAAAAGAAGAAGAAAATAAAAACAACCTTCGCCACTGCCAATCATCAACAAGAGCAGAGGCTGGTCAATTAGTCTTTTCGTGACAAAAAAAAAAAAAAAAAAAAAAATCTAAGAGAGAGCAGTAAGTATTCAAAAATGAATGCTTTTGTGCTTGGTGTTAGTCCCGATAAGGTCTAAAGAGAGTCGGGGGGAGGGGGGGGGGGGGTGAATAGACTCTACTCGATTTTTGAAAACAACTTTCGTTGAGTTGAGCACAGCGGAAAATGTGAGATTGTTTTAGATTGATCTTTGCACGGTTTCGTTATGAAGACTTAGAGTTTGATCAATATGAATGCAATGCACGAAAGATAAATGACTGAATGTAAAGAGAGATGGAGAGAGAGGAATTTTTATAGTGGTTTGGCTATTTACAAAGCATACTCCACTCTTCTTTCACAACTTGTGAAAGAGTTTGCACTATCACCCCTAGTACAAACTATGCAAGCTAGCTTCCTTGATCACTAAGTCGGAACGTTACTCGCTTAGGTTTTTCAACTCCTAGAGTTTACTCCGCCTCTATCAACGTCTTCTTCAGAGTTGAGGGTTGGAAAGGATTAACACGTTCTCCAACAGTTGAAATCTTGACTTGTTGATGGCTGATTCTTCACGTATAAGTCGCAAGATTTCCTTATTAGGTTGTGAAGTCTTGAAGTCTAGATGATCCTTTTTGAAAGAACTTCACAACTACACGCTGGTTCTAAAAAGCTTTTGAATAGAACTGTTTAAGAGCTTTTCTCATATGAAGATTGTTGTAAAAACCAGCACCTTCTTCAGTAGTGAAGAGAGGTATTTATAGGGTAAGAAAAACCATCCGTTGGATGGAGATGGAAATTCAAACCTATTAACCAACATGTAATAACCACTGGGCATGGAACATTTAATGTGGTTGTACTGTGTAGCCGTTGGTGACAAAAAAGTAGCATGTCTTTTTGTCCTTTTTCACTAACACAGAGTACCACTCATTTAATGCTCCTTGAGATTTGAAACATCATTCCTAGGACACCATTTGTCTAGGATGATTTACCAGTGTTGAGACTCAGACAAATATTCTTCTGATTTATCATGTAGAAGATGTCTTTTCGAGTCTGACCTTGACTCATATTCTCGGGATTGGTACACGAAAGATCATCCTTATCTTTCGATACCCCTACAAATCAAATGATCTTCCTTATCATTTGATGTTAATACGAGAGCTAGACCCTTCCATCTTTCGGTCTAAGTTGTTCTCTCGCCCTTCTCTTGATCTTCTTCTTCGTCTTAGGGCAAGGTTCGTGTTTTCCTTTGGTTGAGCACGAGTCCTTCTTCAAGCAATAGACCCTACATCATTATTCAACGAAAGATGGTATACATGAAATAAAATGGGGGTCTAAATTCCTAATGACTTTGATATCATCAAAATCTAAGTACACTTGTTCCTAACACTTGGTTACCAAATAGCCATCAACATGCATCAAAATTAGTCTTCAAACAAAATATACAAACAAGCGAAGTAGCACGAAAGCATGAAACGAGAAACAAGACATGATATACAAAGAAGCGACATTTTTAAAAATATAGGACACAAAATGTGAAAGTATAATATATATATATATATATATATATATATATATAGAGAGAGAGAGAGAGAGAGAGAGAGAGAGAGAGAGAGGTGTATTTTGCAAATACTTTTCTTTAAAATGCATGAACATAAAGTATTTACTACTATAGTTCTAATACAATATAAGGGTATAGACACTAAAACAAATACGATACGTTTGGTTCACGTAATAAATTTTAATGAAATAGGAATCGGGAATGGAATATGCAAAGAATAGAATAGGAATTTGATTCCATTGTTATATTTAGTAATTCTATTCTAGTGTTTGGTTGTGTTAAGAAATATGTTGGGTGGCGGTTTGGATAGCCAAGCCTAGCATCCTATCATTAAAACATGACATTGATATGATTACTACACAAGTATAAGGAAATAAAATTGTGCATTTGGTACTAGTTATAGCTTTTGGCATAGTGGTAAACACTTAATCCTATGAATTTTATCATAGCTGTGCAGTTGAAGGAAACACATTTTTTTAAAAATCCTACCCGCAGCGTGTCCTGATGAAACACATTTTTTTCTTTAAAAAAAAAACTATTTTAAATTTTGAAAATGACCCTAAATTTTTTTTGAGATATTTTCAATGTGAACAGGTGTTGGAAACGCAAAAGTAGTCATCCTTAAAGTTTTTGTACATCATAGTGTAGAAAGAAAGGGCATTATTCCACAAAGATAACTAAGTGCTTGAAGCTAGGTGTTGCTCTGATCTTGTCTCTCTCTTAATAGCAAAATGAAATGTACAATTATACTCAAGTCTATTTGGTCTCCTTTTTCTATTGGAAATACCATAGGTTGGATTACAAGTGTTTTTGTATTTGAAAGAGTATATGGCTAATTACATTACACGGTGAACTGAATTAGGATAAGATAAGGTAAAATAATAAAATTCCCCCACACAATGCAAGAGTTTGTCAATTGGATAGCTCAAGTCATATTATGTTGAGGGAATCGAACTAAATTAACCAACTTTGTTGCATGATTGGAATATAGTATTACATTCCGAGGGGGACGAGATGCCTTTCCCCCCTCCACGAATATTTTCCACCATATCAAATATCTTAGCTTCTTAATAAAACCTTCTTTCCTTGCCTAATAATACTACTTCAATTCTCATCCCTATCTCCCCGCCCACCAAACACGTTCTACGTTGTATATATATATATATTGAACGACAAACATGGTTAACGTACTAGAAAGACTATTCGACTCTTTCGTCTCCGCAGTAACCCATTACTGTTTCTTTCATTATCGTCAAGACACCCACAACAACATCAATCACACCAACGTCGTCAACATGCCCAAGAGGAGCCGCCCACTTTCTCTGCAGGTTTCGCTTTCATGTCTTGCTAATTAATTTCCTCATTATGTATGTAAATTAAATCTAGTTTTAAAATCTTCACATATGGCCCTGTTTGGTAACAGTTACCTTATCGGTCAATTTTGACTTATTTGACCACTGTTAGTTATTTGATTTGGTTAAACATTCAATATAAATGTTTCATAAATTAACTTTTGTAACAACTTATAACTCTAAAATGCTAAAATTAAAAAAAAAAACAGTTTAAATAACTTTTTCCATAAGATGCTGGATGACTTCCCGTGCAGTTGTGTGGTTTTATTAAAATGGCTCACTTAAGTACACAAACGACGCATCTTAAGCACACAAACAAAGCGAACACAAATCACGCACCTTAACAACCGCACAACTGCACCTGAGAAGAGCAACCGCAGGAAACTCATTTATATATATATATATATATATATATATATATATATATATATATATATATATATATATAAAAGTTGTCTATGTTGTCTCTGGGCATGTGTCATAGCACAGTGATCAGCATTGATCGATAACGTAAACAAAACATTCCCAGAGACAACATAGACAACTTTTATATATATATATATATATATATATATATATATATATATATATATATATATATGTGGAAGGCATGCAGTGGCATATAGGATAGAATATTCGGATATATTATATTTATATTCTGAAAATACCTTTGCGGCCTCCAACTGTCTCGATAGGTATCTGTGTATCTCTACTGTTGAGATTATTTTCCAAGTTGAAAGTTACAGAATGCGGTGCTGTGCATCTACTCACACATATTTACCACGTAGATGATGAATGGACTAGGATTAGGATGTTTTCTTGATGCGAATATGGAGGAAGTGGGTTTGCAAGTAGAAGGGACAAAAGGAAGAATAAGAACAAAGGGGAAGCTGTTATAATTAATTAACATAAAAGTGTTTGGTTTACTTTAATAATTCCTGTTTCGGAAAAACCTAACTAGCTAACTGGGTGCGCATCTTTGAACTAAATGTCCATCGATCCACTTTTTACAGACAGTGGAGCTCAAAGTCAGGATGTGCTGTACGGGGTGTGAAAGAGTTGTCAAAGATGCTATCCAAAAGCTCCGAGGTACCTTAAAAAAATTACTTCAACTCATCTTTAAATTGAATTCTATATAGGTAATACTGTAAAAAGTGAGAACTAATCATAACTGTACATTAGTGATCGTCAATAATTGAAAACTTTAGTATAAAAAACAAGTGGTCAATCTTATATTTATTACAAATTTTCAACTTTGTAATTCAATATTTATAAAAACGAATTCATTCCTTTTTTCCCTTAATTTGCAAAACAGTCATCAATGGTTAGATCAGTCTTTACTTTTTACTTGAAAGCATGTTTTCACCTGAACTCTTTACTATAAAAATTTTGTTTCTATAGTTTTAATTGGCACGGTTCTAACGGGATACAACAAAAGATAATATACATAAAACACCAATACTGATTGACACTATATATACACTTTCAATATATATACCATATTGGCACCATGACCACGGCATGGCTTGTTGTGTAGATATAGTCTGATCTCTAGATTCTCAAGTGACAAATTTGCTTCATGACATTAAGATTTTGTTAAGACCTTAAGAATCAAATTTGCTATTTCTTAAACGACGTAAAGACTAAACTTATTGAAATAGTGAATTGAATGACCCAGTAAAAAAATTTATATCTTAATTATAACTGAGAAATTAAAAAGTGTTAATTTTTTTTGGTAAAGTATTGGAACAGGAAACAAAAGTGCTTAATATTTACTTGACTGGACAATAATAATCAACATGTTAATTATTTTTAGTCTTGGATGTATATACATTATAATATAGTACAAGAAATATAAGAAATATATATATTTATGTTTAACTAAAGGTCAAGGTTGGATTCTTAATTTTGGGTATGGAGCAACCTTACACCTATCTTATTTTTAGAGTAATAGACATTTATAGATATATTTATATAAATGCAGGGGTGGATTCAATACACGTGGAGCTGGAGTTAGAGAAGGTGACGGTGTTGGGATATGTGGAGCGGAATAAGGTGCTGAAGGCGGTGAGGAGGGCGGGGAAGAGGGCGGAGTTCTGGCCGTATCCTAACCCGCCGCTCTACTTCACCACTTCAGACCACTACTTCAAGGACATGACCGCCGAGTACAAGAAGAGCTACAACTACTGGCGCCACGGCTACAACACCGGAGACAAGCACGGCACCCTCCTCGCCACCCAACGCGGCGACGACAAAATTAGCAACCTCTTCAACGATGATAACGTCAACTCTTGCCGCCTCATGTAATTAATTAATAATAAACTCCATACCGGCCTATCTATATATATATATATATATATATATATATATATATATATATATATATAAAAGTATGTATGTATGTCGTGACGATAACTGTGTCAGCTGGCAAGATTATGTATGTATGTAATGTATATATGCATGTACCACTGTTACATATATTATTACCTTAATTAATCTAAGTATATATATGTGCATATAAGAATTTATATCATGGACCAGGGTTCACATAGTGTTATGGACCTTGAATCAAAACAACGAGGTATATAATTCATATTCGTAATGTATTTATAATACAAGACACAAAAATCACAACACATGTTATATATTTACTTATTTTTCAAATTTGATTTAGGTACATAATTTGTTTTCATAGGCATAAAATTCCATAACATAAGACACGGAAATTCATAACATAAAACACAATTACTAATTTATTTCAAATACAGAATTTATATTCTTACGATACAGAATTTCATAATACAATAATACAAAAAACCTCAAAACCTCAAAACAATTATAAAACAATCCAACTTGCATGGACAGCTCAACTGGTCACAGAGGTGAAACTTTGGAAGAATAATCAGGGATTGAGTCTCACCAGCGGTAGTGTGGGAGCAACCTCTCAATGTGAGGGGAGTTGAGTTCTTTGTGCGCAGTGAGCACGGTCTAGTGCATCTAGGGATGTCAAATGGGCTAGCCTTACAGGGTTGGCTTATATATATATATATATATATATGATTTTTGTTGATCCAACGGCTCACAATTACAGTGCACCTTTCGGGATGTACCTGCGGAACACATAGGCACAGTGCATGGTGTGGTGATTTATGAATTTTGAATTGTCGACTCTTTACACATACCTTCACGTGCATGTTTATCAGAGGAAGTTTGAGATTGGCGGAAGGTGACCGAAACACAGGCCTTCTCATGCATGATTATCGGGGGAAGTTTGGGATTGACGGAAACACACGCGAGGAGTTCCGGCATAGCGTATTTCGAACTGCCGGTATCATATATATCCTTAGCGTGTCTTGCGCCGGGCAGAGCGTGTAGCGACCGAGAATCCTAGCCGGAGCGACCGCTGCGACGTGCGACCGGTGTTTACTGGACGGGAACGCCACCCCTGCGACTACCCAGCACCGATAATGAACCTGCCGTGTGTACTGCCACCCCTGCGACCACCCAGCGCCGATGATGAACTCGCCGTGCCACCAGGTTGGTGTATTTCGAACTCCAGTACCCAAGAGTTTGAAGGTAATTGTACGGGATTTTTTCCCCTTGTTTGAAGAGTCTAGTGTATTTTGAACTCCAGTACATAACAAAATGGTGTCATCAGGTTCGTGGTTTTTTTTTCCTTGTTGGAAAAGCGCAGTGTCTTTCGTACTACAGCACATAACAAAATGGTGTAGGGTGCTCCTAGTTTATTCCAAAAAAATGCACAGTGCAGATGATGTGGTGTTTAAGCAAGCTTCTAGTTTATACAAAAAATTGCAGAGTGCAGGTGATGTTAAGTGTATTAATTAGCCTATGAGTGAACTACGCTTGGAATTGGGAAACAACCAGAATAATTTTTTAGCCTGTTAGTGAACCATGCTTGGAACTGAAAACCAACCAGAATAATCATGAGTGAAGAATACTTTTCTTGTCACCCAACAAGAAAAGTATTCTTCACTCTATTGTTGGCATTAAGAATGATTCAGTTCAGTCAGAATGGTAGTTCGCATTGCAATTATACCCAGTACATTCACTTTACAACATTGAAATAGAAATTTTATTTACATGTTTGCAAGTTGTACCCATTGAGTTAACTCTAATTGATTGTTACTGCAATTTGTTTTCTCATGACGTAATTTATCATTTATCATATTAGATTGGAAAAAAACAAAATAAAACAAAAGACAATATTAGAAATAAAACTGTACTGCTGTCATGTTTGGTTATTGTTAATGGACAGGGAAATGAAATTAGAGCCATTAGCAGTAATTCTGTGAGACTGCAGCATTATAGTATTAATAAGGTACAGAAGGTTATACAATAACGTCTGTCATATGACAAAAGGAAACACTGTTAATTTAGAGTTGTCTATGTTTCTCTGCCCTCGGATAATTGCTAAGACTAATTAAGACTAATTAATTTGGAGTTGTCTTGCACGGTTTTAATAATGAAGCTGAACGCACCGCATTTTAATTATGTTGTGTTGTATCTTGAATGCCATTTTATGTTTGCACTGATATTATTATTATAAGTTGGTTGTTGGTGATAGACTCATCAGACTGGCAGGTTTTCTTTACTGGATTTTTCGCCTCATTTGTATTATGTGTGTGTTTTCGTCCACAGGTGCCCATGCGAGTGAGGGGGGTGTTCGTGAACTACTAGCAGAGCAACCCACGTATTGGTGTCCGGCTGTGAACAGCGAAATCACCCCGGTTGTTGGGCGGCGTTTTAGTACATTGGACGAAGGCATCGACTTTTACACGAACTACGCACGGGTCTGCGGGTTTGATGTGCGGCTCTACACCATGCAACGGGACCGCGACGGGGAGATCGTGATGCGTTATTTGGTATGTAACCGGGAAGGCATTAAGGGTGGTGGTAATAGCAAGCCTATCTGTGCACACGGGGATAGTGGAGGTAAGAGGAAACAACGAAGAAGACGGATATCTAACAGGGTTAAGTGCAGAGCCCGGATATGTTTTAGAAAGGTGAGCAGTGGGGAGTTTGAGATAACTGTGTTCGTTGAGGGACACAGTCATCGTATGTGTTCCGACGCATCGAAGTTATTCATGAGAGTTAACCGAAAATTGGATGTGGCACACCAGGCGTTTGCAGCAAACTGTGTTAGAGCGAATGTTGGCTCCTCCAAAGGTTTCAAGCTATACAGGGAGGTCACCGGGTCATACGCAAATGTTGGTGCGACGGACACCGAGTTCCACAATTTCAAACGGGACCTCCAGGTATATGTTGATGGCAAAGATGGTGAAATGATTATAGAGAAGTTTAAGACGAAGCGTGCTATGTGTGAGAACTTCTTTTTCGATTACGACCTGGACGAAGAAAACTGAGTTGCGCGACTTTTCTGGGCTGACCCCATTGGTCGTCGCAATTTTTCGTTGTTTGGCGACACGGTCTCATTCGATGCTACTTACGGTACAAATAGGTATGAGCGGTACGCTTGTCGTTTGTTTTTTTTTTTTTTTTTTTTTTTTTTTTTTTTTTTTTTGCCGTAACTCCAGTGCATGCTTAGAACATTGTGGTGCATGTCGCGCGCTTGTTTGTGTTGGGCTTTATGTTTGTGTGGTAATTAATTACATCAAATGCACACTCATTTTCGAATTCTGATAATGAGTATGATAAATTAAAGTTAAGAGCTACTAACGATATAATTGAATCATGATACAGCCCAGGTTTTGTTCCATTCTAACTCGGGGGAAAATTGTTGAACTTTTGATCTATTAATCTTTGGCATAGCTGAATAGGTGAAACCACAAGTTGCATTGATGTAATTAAGTCAAGATGGATGTATCATGATTAAACTATATATGATTAATAGATCATATATAGCCATCGTTTCTTTTTTTTTTTCTTTTTTTTTTTTTTTTGTATTTTTTGTGGATTGTATAGTCGTGTTAACGTTGTAAATTGCCGATTTTGATTAAGGTACAATCTGGTATTTGTTCCGTTCACCGGGGTGGACCACCACAAGCGGTGCATTACTTTTGCTGTCGGGTTGCTCACTAAAGAGGACGTTGAATCATACACGTGGTTATTACAGAGGTTTAGAACTGCAATGCGTTCTGTCCCATCATGCGTGATCACTGATCAAGACCCGGCTATGAAGATTGCTATTGCCCAGGTTTTGCCAGATTGCCGACACCGTTTCTGTATGTGGCACATTATGACAAAGGTGAACGAGAAAATTGGGTCTGACTTGGTAAAGGATGTGCAGTTCCGCAATAGGCTAAACGGTATTGTCTGGAACGAGACCATCAGTGTAGATGAGTTCGAAGTGCAATGGCATTTGTTAATGGAGGAGTACAACCTAACAACCCACCGCTGGTTCACCAAGTTGTACACTGAAAGGGAGTTCTGGATCCCTGCATATTTTACAGATTTGCCCATGAGTGGGTTGTTGCGCACTACGTCCCGATCTGAAGCAGAGAATAGCGTTTACGGGAAGTGTTCCCGACCCCACTTCAGTCTGCTGGAGTTTTATATGCAGTACGAGAGTGAAATGGAGACCCAGCGTTACAAGCAAAGCAAGTTAAACGCTGAGAGCGAGGGGTACTTGCCCGATTTCAAAACCCCCTTGGCGCTTGAACGGTATTTGGCACAGAAGTTCACGATAACAATTTTTTATGAGCTACAACAAGAAATTGAAGCTGGGTGTTTTTATTGTCGAGTGGTTGGTATCCGTGAGGAGGGGGAGGTCATCACTTACGACATAAGAGGGGAAGGCACCGCTACCTACACTGTGCAATACACCCCGGTAGGGAATCATGCATCCTGTAGTTGCAAGCTATTTGAGCGGATGGGGTTAGTTTGTCGTCATATGTTCTTAGTGTTCAGGGATGCACAGATTAAAAGCTTGCCGTTGGACTATGTCCTTCCACGTTGGTGTAAGCAGGTTGGAGGTGTTGTATGTTGCCGGCAGTGTTGCGATGTTTCTTCTACGGACTCTGGTCCTAGCCGGATATGGAATGCGATGCACACATGCGCTGCATTGGTAGGCATCAACACAGAACGACAGTCACGACTGGTGCAAGTATTAGAAGATCTGAAAGGGGAATTTCTGAGTGCTGGTCCACACGTTGTCCCTGCAAAAGGTAACAATGCTGCCATCGTGGCTTTATGTGGCGTTGCACCCCCAGCATCCATCACCATCAAGCCCCCTGCTCAAGCTAAAAACAAAGGGACGGGCAAGCGTATTAAAAGCCAACGTGAGTTAGCTGTTTTGAGCAGTGCTAAAATAGGGCGTAAATGCGGTGTGTGCGGCGAGTACGCCCGTCATAATGCTCGTAGTTGTCCCTATAAGTAAGCAGGTGTTGCGGTACTGTCAGAATAACAACTCTATGGTTGTTGTTAGAATTGTGCATGTTCCGAAAACCTTAATGTCTGTTGCTTTTTTTTTTTTTTTTTAATGAATTCCAGGTTTCATCTATTTAAGCAAGTTTCTTAGTAGGGTGTTTTATTGGGTAGGAAACTGTGAAGTTTATTGTCCTGTTTGAGTTCATTATTGGGTGTGCATTACAGGTTTAATGTTTTTGTAATATTTCCCACTTTCCCCCTCCCCATGGGCATCATGAATGCAGTGCTTTTTAGTTCAACCAATGGGTTACTGGAAATAAATAAACAAAATAAATAAAACGATTCCGTGGTCATATAAGCTTCACTGCACACTAAAAGATGAGGTAAGATGTACTGTGTACACAAAAATAATGTTCTTCTGTTTCACAACCCTCAGCTCCTTGACTCCGCAAATCTATTACAAAAAATTAAAATTAACAGAAAAAGGAAATGAAGAAGAAGAAACCACTGGAGTGGTAAGATTAGGTAGACCCTTACATGTTATTATCGTTGAAAATAATAAATTTATGATCACTAAAAAAAGAATTTATTAGTTCAAATCTAATAACATGGCAAATTATTAAAATAAGTAAAAAAAAAAAATTAACATTATTAATGATAAATTAAGAAGTAATCACTAATCCTAATGCGTTTAGTGTTTTAAATCAATTATCCCATCACTACCATAACCCGAAATAACATGACCGTACTAATGCTAGTGGTCAAAAAAGCTACTGAACGACCCTCCACGAAATAAAATGTGTTGCACCACTACCGTACTAATGCTAGTGGCTTTATATACACCAAAAAAATAACATTATCAAGTTTTTTTACTGTCCCATTCTGCATTTCCTACCATGGTACCGTCGTGGACGTCCCTACCTATGAAGCAACCGTTCCGATCTGATGGAGTCGTACTCCCCCACCCATGTGACAATGGTACGCATATGGATATTTGCCTCACTTAGTAGAATGTTATGCAAATAACGCCTGCGCAAGTTCAGAAACAATGAAGCGTCCCCTGCTTGTAATCCAGTGTACCATTTTGGGCAGCGGTCCCCCATAAACGACTCCATATGGCGCATCGTATATATTGCTGATTCTGCGCCGCACGTGGTTTCCCCCCATACCAACGGCATCCTCGTGGGAGTCATGGACCTCAGTTGTAGTGCACGGACTGGCTGATGTTTCGTTTCAAGGTATGTAGCAAACAGGTCAACCTGCAAACAACACCAGATTACAATATAGCATGCAACGGTACTAACCGGCAGGGGGAATGACTATGATTGCATGGGGGTTACCATTTCGCCCGGAGCCCGCCCATACATTTGGATTCCTGTGTCTGTCGGTGGTGCACTGTCAATGATGTCGAAGGAGGGATGCTTGAAATTGATGCTCATGACATAGTAACGGGCTTGGTGCATTATTGCAAAAATATACTGCCACGTTGTACAATTATGTCACCGAAATTGTGTATATTAAAGAACATTTTATGCACAGATCATGTCCTTACCATGTCTACCGTGGCCACCTCCACGCGCCCTACAGCATGGACCTCCGCATCAATACGGCGTGTGAACCACGAAAGCCTTTCATTTCTGCTGGCAGCAACATTCACGACAGCCCCAATCTGCACACCATCACAATGTAGTAAAATTAGAGTTGGAACAAAACATGTAGTCAGGTTCAAGTTCCAGGCATGGTACAATTTTGTTTTTTTAAACAGGCGCACGGAACTGCCCACGGGTAATTTCATGCTACATAGAAGGTTATATTGCACAACTACTTCGGCCGTACTAATTTTATCACAACGACAACTGACATATACATATTTTAAAATACAAAAAGATAAAAATGCCCCGGACCCCTACACCCGTTAGTGCTTTTCTAGGTACATATCGTAACGGCTGTTGTAAAGAACAAGCGTGAAGGCACACTCCGCCCCCTGGGTCTCTCTCTCGCATTCAGCACAAGACACCAAACATCTACTACCACTTTGGAGACGTTCGTACCCTCTTTTAGCGTGTGCAGGTTAGCCCATATCGCTTTTCGATTAGCATACTCGAACAGTACTTGATTGCTATCAAATTAAACATACATCGGTTGTTACACACAGTTTACAAGGTTGCGTCCATATCCCTACATGTGGTGTACTCTACTTACCGGTCAATGTGCGGTGAATTAAAAAGCCACATCCAGACAACATATATTGGTGGTAGTGGAATTGCAGGGTAGCCCGACGCTGTGCTGAAAAAAAAAACCAACAGGCTCGGGCCCCCGATCGATGGGCCTTTTGCCTTTGCGGTCTACCCTTAACTGAGGTGGTGACTCCGATATGGTGGTCCTGTCGGGCGCACGTAGTAGAACCTGCATGATGAACCGTACGTGTTAATAAAATTGCACCAGACTGAGATGCATTCACATAACAATTTATCAATCCAGAAAATCACTATCTTCACAAATCAATTCGACAATATTATTTAGGTTATTCACTGTCCGTTAAAATCTCAGACCTACAGATCACCAATGATACCTGCGCAGTGGGCGTCACTTCATTTGACGGTCCAGCCGTGGTACCTTTCTCCCGGTGCATTGCTAATTCTGTCGTGGCCCTTGGCCTGGAGCTTAGAACGGATGACGGCTGCAACAAGAAGTCTGTGCAAGCATCAGTAATCGATCTGGACTGCACCAGAACTTGAATACATTCACATAATGCACAGGGGAAAAAAACGCAGTTTACTTGTCATCTTTTTCTAGCCTGGTTGTAAAGTGCATATATATAGTGTGTACAGTGGATTTGATTTCCCCAGTAGTTATATATATATATATATATATATATATATATATATATATATATAGTGTGTATGTATAGCGTGTGTGTGTACAGTGTGTATATATATATATAGTGTGTGTGTATATAATATATATATATATATATATATATATATATATATATATATATATATATATATATATATATATATATAGTGTGTGTGTGTGTGTGTATATATATATAGTGTGTGTGTAGTGTATATATAATGTGTGTAGTGTATAAAAGTACATTATTTTATATATACTATCAAATAATGTATCTTCAATACACAAATAATGTACATTTATTATATTAAAAATGTACCCTATATTCATGGTCTACACAAGTTGTATGGACTATGGTCCATCTAATAATGATTGGATATTACACGGGCCAGCTCAACAATCCATGAGCTGGCCCAACTCAATCCAATAGCCCGATAGGGCCAACCCAATGAGTTTACATGTGGTTCATGTTCAGTTGAGTTACCATCTATGGTGTAATGATTGGTCCATATGTGTGTTATATTTCTTATTTGGGTTGAGACTTTTAAGATAGAATCTTTTATGGACCGTTTTATAATTGGGCTTCCTTCTACATCACAAAACATAAATGGGATGCCGTAACTTTTCATGATTGGTCCATATGTGTGTTATATTTCTTATTTGGGTTGAGACTTTTAAGATAGAATCTTTTATGGACCGTTTTATAATTGGGCTTCCTTCTACATCACAAAACATAAATGGGATGCCGTAACTTTTCTTTCGGCCTATTTGTTACTATGAACAGCAATTATATCGTGGACCATAGTCCACAAAGTTTTGTAGACCATGGTCCCAAAACGGCATTATTATTTTTTAAATAAAGAAATGATTGCCGTTACATCTTAACGGAAAGTGCGTATTTTTGTTGTGTTAATTACAAAATGAAATTACAATATATTTAAAATGAAACTGTCTCACATATTTTTTTAATATTATTAAATGAAACTATAATTTGATTGAAATGAAATTGATGTTGTGTCAAAATGAAACTGCAGTGTATATAAAATGAAACTGAATAACAGTTTCACATAATTGAGTGTATATTGTCCAATGAAACTGTAGTTATATCGAAATGATACTGTAGTTGTGTTATTATGAAACTATAGTATATATAAATTGAAACTGAATAATATTTTCACATATTTGAGTGTATAATTTCGAATGAAACTGTAGTTATATCGAAATAAAACTGTAGTTGTGTTGAAATGAAACTAAATAACAGTTTCACATATTTGAGTATATATTGTCCAATGAAACTGTAGTTATATCAAAATGATACTGCATGTAGTTGTGTTGTAATGAAACTGTAGTTTATAAAATGAAACTGAATAACAGTTTCACATATTTGAGTGTATAATGTCGAATGAAACTGTAGTTATATCGAAGTGAAACTGTAGTTGTGTTGAAATGAAACTGCAGTGTATATAAAATTAAAACTGAAAATGTTATACAAACATAAGCTACTTATGCGGAACGGTGCGGAACAATTGCGATTTCTTTTCATCAATGACACGTTTGGTTCGCGGAATAGGCCTGGAATGGAATAGCATTCTCACTTCTTAGTAATAGGTCTATTCCTTTGTTTGGCAAAATCTTCTATTGCCAGGAACATTATTCCTGGGAATGACCTATTCCCCTTGCAAGAGGAATAGAGATTCCTGGCACCCCCCTAGTATTAGGCTATTCCTGAGTCCTCAGGAATAGCCTAAATTTACTATTTCCTATTTTACCCCCAAATAAATCTAAAATCATAATTCCTAAATCCTAATTATTCTGGAGTCTCTACGTCTCTGGACCTTCTTCGCAACTCTGCTTTTCGGCTTCTCCGCTTCGGCCTCACGCCATCCGGCTTCCACGATTCCACACTCGGCGAGTCGCCGAACTCCGGTCAGGCGGTCACTCCCTCACGCCTAGGCCTTTTGCTTGGATGCTTCTCCGTGACGCACTGACTCCGTAGTCTATCTTCCGACGCCAACGCCTTCCGGCCTTTGCTCCTTAGTCCTCTCACGGTCCTTACTCCTCAGCCTCGCCAAACACCGGACACCCAATCAACTAGTCAAGTAATCACCAAACTGGGATCGGCGATCACGCTGTTGAGTTCGCGAGAGAGGTTCG